TTGGGGACTGATATGGACACAGCTGCTCACCTCCCTGCAAGAGTGCCCTCGGACGGCGGCCAGGCTGGCTGCAGCCGACACAGGGGCCGGCTTCCTGTGGGTCACGAGTCAGAATTTGATTTGTGTAGACGCCTGGTCAGTGACCATCTGTGTATTCAATCTTTTGGTGGTAATAGTGACAAAACTTAACTTCTTTCATTCTTAAAAAAAAAAAAAAGGTTTTTGTTTATTTTGAGAGAACGAGCACGTATGTGAGAGCAGGGGAGGGCAGAGAGAGAGGAAGAGAGGATCCCAGTCAGGCCCAGCGCTGTCAGCCAGGAGCCTGACTCGGGTCTCGATCCCACAAACCGTGAGACTGTGACCGGAACTGAAATCAAGGGTTGGACGTTTAACTGACTGAGCCATGCAGGCGCCCTCTTTAAAGGGATTTATAGCCACAGTTGAGCCAGTTCTGGTGCTGGTGGAGAGAAGATGAAAGCCGGTGCGGCTGGTGGAGGGCGGTGGATGGTGCCTGAGGGTGGGCATGGAGTCGGGGCAGTGACCCTGGGCAGGCGGGGTACTGGCACGCGCCAGCAGGGGAGGCGGACACTTGGGTCCTCACTGGGCCCCGGAGCACAGGGTGCCAGCGCCGGGTGCTGGAGGAATCTGGGAGGGGAGAGGTGGCTCCCTTTCAGTGCCGGCTAGAGGTGAGCCCGACGCCCCCACATTGGGGCGTCACCGGGGTTGCCGCTGTCACTGAGCCCCACGTCTGCTTGTTCACACCGTGTGCGGAGTGCTGGGTGTGTGGTCTGCAGACAAAGCCCTCAGAGCAGACCCTTGGGTGCTGACGGCTTCCAGGAGGCTCTGCTGGATGGGCCCCAGCGGCCGCAGAGATGTCGTGGGACCAAATGGTCACCCTCGATCACAGACGGACAGAGGTCTCTTAGTGTGATGGGTCCTTCCCGGCGCACCCCAACTCAGCGGCGGAGCCCCCGTGAGGCCCTCCGGGTCTGCCCCATGAGGGGGTCGTGTGATCCCGCCCCAGCCCTTCCGAGCAGCGGGGCTGCTGATTCCCAGTTTAAAAGAAAGGCAGAGAGGTGAGCCCACGGCTTGTGTGTGGCTGAGGGTTTAACACCGTCCGTTCCGGAGAAGCCTCTGTCCGCCGGGGGAGGACGCTCCTGCGGGGGCGGGGGCGGGGGCGGGGCTCTGGCAGAAGGGGCAGGTGCCCAGCGGGGCGGGGCGCAGGCCTCCCATGAGCCCTCGCTCCCTCCTGTGGTTGAAACTCCGGACAAGCTGCAGGGAGGACGGACAGGCTTTGCCCCGGAGCAGGGGCTTTCTCAGGACCCTCCCCTCACCCGGTTTGGAGCGGAAAAACCCGCTGCTCGGTTCTCACACTCTGAGCCCCTCAGACCGCCTGGCAGGCAGGGTTCCCACACACCCGGCCCCTGGGGCGGCTGGGACCCCGGGCCAAGGCAGGAGATGAGAGGGGGTGGGAGCTCCCCCGCTGGGGAACTTGGGGGGCCCGCCTGGGTCTCAGACAGCATTCACCTCCAGCCACAAGAGGGCGCCGGTAGACAGCAGGTTCTGAGTCCTTTAAGGGGCGCTAGGCTGCCCTGGGTCACAGGCTGCCCTGGGGACCTGCCCTCCCTGAGTTGTGTCCCTAGAGCCTTGCCATCCTGTGGAAGACACCCAGAAGGGGACGGGGAGGAGGGGGTAGGGGACGGGGGCTGGGGGGGACTGGGCGCAGGGGGTCACGGAGAGGGGTGCAGGCAGGGGGATGGGGGTGGAGGGGGCTGGGCCGGGAGATGGGGGGCTGGTACAGAATCACAGGGGACTGGGGGGCGGTGGGGGCGGGAGGGGTGCTGCTCGGGGGAAGCAGTGCCCCCCCCCAGCTGTCTCACACCTGAAGCGGCCCTGTCCTGGTGCCCTGGGACTTCTTCCCAAGGCCTCTCCCGCGGGCAGCACCAGTGCACACCCCCTCGCCCCAGAGTGACGCCCACCGCCCCTCCCTGCCGCATCCTTGGGGCTGACGTGACCTGTGAGCCTGAGGTCAGCTGACCCTGCCCACGCCCGGGGTCAGACCCTCCGCAGGGCTCTCCTGGCACAGAGCCTCAGGCCAGGGCAGCCTCTGCACGTCACAGAAAGTGCTCAGGGCGCGTCTGCAGGAACGGCCCGCAGGTGAGGCCCTGCACCAGGAGCAGTGGCATTTGGGGACTCGTTAGAAAGGTGGCCCCACTGAGGCCTCCAAGCCCGAGTCTGCGTTTTAACCAGCGGGGAGTCTTCTGTGCACATTGCACTTGGAGAAGCAGCAGCTCTGCCCCTCCACTGCCCCCTGCAATTCCGGGTTCCGTGTGTGTGTGTGTCTGTGTGTGTGTGTCTGTGTGTCTGTGTGTCTGCCCCTGCTGTAAACAGGCGAGTCCCCGTGGGGGCACGGACCAAGATGGGGCTTGGCCGTGAGCGGGACAGTGACAGCCGACCTCGCTGTCGGGGGCCCAGCCCTTCTCTCTAGACTGTTCTCGGGCTGCCCCCTGCCCCCCAGAGGGAGAGATGCGCCCCCGTGACCAGGCCCCACCCCCAGGACCACGGGGGCCACCAGGGGCTGGAGCAGCACCGGTGTGTGGCCAGCCCCAGAAACAAGAGTCTGCACGAGCCCTGTGACCACTTGCCGGAAGTGAGCTTATTGGCCCCACTCAGCTGCCAGGCAGCTGGTCAGGGCCCCCCACTAGCCAGCTGTCCTGGGGGTGGAGGCTGGCACCCGTGTGCTGGGGACGCTTCTGTGTGGCCGCCTGCCTCCGACCACGCCCTCCACTTCTCCCGCTGCCACCACCCTGGGTCCCACCAGCCCAAGCAGCCCAAGGGTGCTGAGCGTGACCCTCCCCGTCCCCTGGCCTGTGAGCCCAGAGGCCTGTGGGTGGAGCCAGAAGCAGGGCTCCACTCAGTCCTTTCCCACGGTGGGCACAGCCGGACTCTCCTCTGAGAGGTGGGGGTCGCACCTGGGCCACAGGAGAGGATGGTCCGGGTTCAGAAGCTCAAGCCAGGTGTGGCACCTGAGGGCTGACGTGGAATGAGGGGTGAGGGTGAGGGGAACCATCCATCGTGGACGACAGAGAGTCCCCACCGGGGCCAGAGCTCCACTTCAGGGAGGAGGGGAGAGCCTGCGTGGACCCCGGTGCCCTCGGAAATAAGAACAAGCGGCACGAAGGTGCCCGTTCTCCAGGCACTGGGAGGGTGTTACACAGAAGGAACCCTCCCAGCAGGGGGCGCTGTTTTGGTTCCCATGTGCAGAGGGAAGGAAGTTGAGATGATGCTAGGGGCCTGGAGGAGGCACCCCAGAGCCATCTCCCGTCTCCAGCCCCCTGGGCAGCGCCCCTCCGGGCAAATGGATCTGTGGGTCTGGTGGGTGGTGGTGTGCACGGTGTGACAAGGTCTCTGGGCCCTCCATTCTCCTCCACGTCAGGAAGAGTGAAAGCCCACGCATCATCCGAGCTCAGGGCTTCCGAGGACGCAGATGGGCTTGTGGAGAGGCTGGGTCAGAGCCAGTGACTCTGGGAGTCTCAGCAGACGCCTGGCGTGGACAGAGCTCGAGCACTCCCCCGAGACGCGGTTCCCGCCCGTCCTGGCCATGGGCCTGACTCCAAGGGACAGGAGGGGAACTGCCCCACACTGGCCAAGGGCTGGGTCAACGCAGGCCAACACCTGCTTGAGGCCACCCAGAGAGCGCGCGTGCCCACGGTGGCACAGAGCTCTGGACCCCCACAGCCGGGGACCGGAGTTGCCGTCCCCACAGCTGCCTCACTGGGCTGGCCAGCCTACACCAGCACGCTGGCGGCAGTGTGTGGGGCGCCCAGACTCCTGGCACTGAGGCTCAAGTGACCAACTTTCCTGGCAAGAGCACTGACCCAGCTCAGAGCCGGTGCCATTGGGGGGTGCCCCATGCAGCTCTGAGACTCTGTCGTGGGCTCCTCGCTGTGCGGCACACGGGGGCTCTCGTCTCCACGGCAGGAAGGCTGCTCCAAATGAAAGCTGATGTCTGTGCAGATCGCTCTTAACAGGCGGAGCCTCCCCCTCGGGTGTGGGTGAGGACCCAGAGCCAGCAGCACCCCCGCGCGTGCGTTCTGCGTGTCACCGTGACCCCCGTCAGATCGGCACGGGACACGTAGGCTGAGCCCTTCCAGGCGGCATCATTTGCATGTGGTCCGTGTGACTCCGATTTCCGCTAAAACCCTAAAGAGGCTTCCTCGCATCGGTTCACAGACTTGGGAATCAGCCATTCAAGTCAGCGCCCCTCTTCCCTCCGTGCGACTGGCTGGCGGCCGCGGCTGCTGGCCCGCACCAGCGGCTTGCGTGTGAAGTTGCGGGCGGAAGCGGACCCCCAGCCTGCACTGTGACTCGGGCTCCTCCGCTGAGCTAAGGAGGCAGGACGGGGCCATCATTACACAGCGACTCGGCGTTGTCCTCGCCACAGATGCTGCTGTTGCGAGGAGCCGTCTCTTGTCTCCTGTTCCCAGCGGCTGCTTGCGAGCCTGCGGACGCCCAGGGGCTTTTCTCCCAGAAGCACGGCCGTGCCGTGCAGAGCGACTTTGTAACATGGACACGGGCCTCAGATGCCAGGACTGACATGACGTGTGGGCCGCAGCGCTCGTTAGGGAGGGCTTAGCCAGCTGGTCGGCCCAGAAAGGAAGCCGACCGGCTCTCGTGCTGGAACAGAAGGTGACCGGGCTCCGGGAAGGGGGGTCTGCCGGGGTCTGTGGCCTGAGCGGCGGCCAGCGTGGGGCTGGGAAGGAGCGGCACGTGGGAGGCATCTGCCCGTCCTAAACCAGAGCAAGCTCTGGAAGCTGCCCGGACACGGGGCCTGGAAACCTGCATTCGGCGCGGGTGCTGGCCGGGCGCGCAGCTCACCGCCAGCCCGGGGACAGCGCAGGGAGGCCACGAGGAGCCCTCAGGCTGTAAGGTCCCCCGGAGCTCACAGCAGCCTGTGACCCGCCGCACACACTAACTGCAGATCTCTGTCCTCATTTCAGCTTACAGGATGCTGGCATCGGGTTCATCCTGGTCATAGACAGAAGACAGGACAAATGGACGTCGGTGAAGGCGTCGGTCCTGCGAATAGCAGTAAGTGTAGGTGCCCGGGCTGTGACGCCCGCCTCTGCTCGCCCCCTGGGCCGGGCGACCGCTGGGTGACAGCACTGCCCCTCTCTCCTAGCCACCGTCTGCCTGGTGGTGACTTGCGTGCTGCTGGCCCGTGCGGTGCTGCAGCCCCACGGCCTGGGGCAGGGCCAGGGGCACGCAGGAGTCTGACTCACGGGAGTGTGTGCGCATCTGTGTGCACGTATGTGTGCGTGGTGTGTGTGTGTTCTCAAAAGTGGATCCACTCTTAGGGGGCCTGTGATCATTTAAAAACAGTTCCACCCGCCTGTTTATTTTTGACCATGGAGTATGTGGGATGCTGAGGACTGAATGTGTCTTCATTCTTTTTTCAGACAGAGAAAGAGAGGTTGAGAGCATGAGCAGGGGAGGGGCAGAGAGGGGGGGAGAGAGCCCCAAGCAGGCTCCACACGCAGCCCAGAGCCTGGCGCCAGACTCCACCCATGACCCTGGGCTCATGACCGGGGCTGACAGACACTGAGCGCTAGATGCTCAGTCCACTGAACCCCCGGGTGCCCCAATGTGTCTTCGTTCTTTTTAATGCTTATTTGTATTTGGGAGAGAGACAGAGACAGACAGATGTGGGGGAGGGGCAGAGAAGGGGGGGGACACAGACTCCAAAGCAGCTCCGGGCTCCGAGCTGTCAGCAAAGAGCCCGACGTGGGGCCCGAACTCACAAACTTTGAGATCATGACCTGAACCAAAGTCAGACACCCAACCCTCTGAGCCCCCGGGCGCCCGGATGTGTCTTCGTCCTTAAACGGAGCCTGAGGCCCTGAGCTAAGGACCTGCAGGACAGTCAGGGGCTCTTCAGGCTGCAAGTTTGAAATAGCACCGAATGCCTGTTTCTAATTGACTTTCTCCTCCCCAGACTACTTACCGCCCCTTAGTCTTCCCGCTAAACAGGATGCCTGGGCCTTCCTGGAGCCCATCCCTGCCCCCAATGACGCCACGCCACCTGACACGCGGAAGGGCGGTGGCTCCGTGGCTGTGGCTGTTTTCAGCCTGCAGTAATAGTCCGGAGGGAAGGGTCCTACCCAGGAGCTCCACGGAGAGCGCTGCACCCGCCCTCACTCACGGCAGCCCAGGGACTTAGGGCAGCAGGGAACCCAGGGCATCCGGGCCGGTCGCCGGCTGGGGCGGCTCCTGAGAACCTAACCCCAGATGGAATAAAACCCTCCTAACCGCTCTGGCTCTGCGGTTCTAAGCTCCGAGAGGCCGCTGTGCTGCGGCCCTGGGGGGGGGGGGGGGACGAAGAACCGACCCCTCCCCAGAGGTGACTCCTCACCCTCCAAACAGCATCTAAGGCTTGGATGTGCTCTGACTCTTACAATCAAAGTCATTTTGCAAACCCGTCCCTGGGCCACTAGGTTCCCCCCTTGCCTTTCTGAGAAGTGTCTGCCTGCACCACCGGGCACACCTCCCGTTCCTCGTCCCCGGCTGCCCCCCTGCGCGCGTCCTGTCCCCCCACCTCCCCCTGCGCGCGCGTCCTGTCCCCGCACCTCCCCCTGCGCGTCCTGTCCCC